TAAGATTTCTGCGTAAACATGTTTTTTTTTGTGCCGTACAAAAACAGCTGGTATTCTCACAAAATTTCAGTCTTCTCGCCTGCCTAAATGCCAAGAGGGAGTACGAAATTAGCACTGCAGTTTGAACATTTGATATGTCTTTATGCAAGACCCATGCGTAAACAAAGACCCGCTTCGAGCATGCTGATCCCCAACTGAACTGCAAAAATCGTCAAAAAATACTGTTTTTCTACCAGTCCAACTACCGAATTATTTGGGTGCTAACAATGTCCCCAAATAAATATTAACTTGCGCTCACGAAAGACCTAGGCGCGGTTAAAGACTCAAGAGAATTCGTATAATAGGGGTTTTTTCTCGTGCGCGCAAATGAATATTTGGTTTTGGATATTGCTGGCAATCAGTTAATTCCGGTAACTGGATTGAATAGGAAGCAAAAAAAATTTTTTGGCATTTTTTTTGACTCACAGGAGTTTGCTTCGAGCAGACCCCTCGTTGACGCGTGCTGTTCGTCAGAACGCTTAGATAATTGGCACCGAATCAACGAATTTCCGGAACTGATGGATGGCCAACGTATTTGATGCGCAAAAAACATTACCAGCTGAAAAGCAGTGATTCACGGCAAAAAGTTAAAGTTTTAGGCGGTTCAACAAGCCCTGGATGTTGCAAGCAGTGGGCGGACATGTATTATCGTTGCGCATCGTCTTTCATCAATCCAACACGCCGATCAGATATTTTTCATCGAAAATGGCAAGGTTATTGAACAGGGAACACATCAAGAACTCAGTGAACTGGACGGCAAATACGCTGATCTGATCCGGAAACAGGACCTGAAATCACATTAGCCGAGTTGACCAAATTGTCCTGTATAATTGCGATCTGTATAACAACGTCTTGCATTACTCGCCTCGGTGGCGATGTTCTGTTCCTTAGAATTTTGAAGGATATCAAATCTTGCGCCTTCCAAAGATGTTTTTTTTTTTCCAACGTTATTCAGTTTTTATTACGAATGATGCTGTAACGAATGTAGGCTTCTGAAGAAAATTCAGAAGCGGATTATATTGAAAAATTTAGAAATGGCAAATCCATTCCACTGCACTAGGTCGATGCAGAACGTTGCTTGATTCATGCTTGTTCGTTAGATATGCGTAATTTTTTTGTATTCAAAAACTGTTTTCATATTTGTCTCACTGCTGAAATTACGCGTATACATTAACATTGTATCGTCTTAATAAATGTGTTTCAGAAGTCTTAAAGATGCAAACAATGAATATCCCTGGTCAGGAGACTGGAGGAAGACAGGAGCCTGAAGTCTTCCATGTGTTAACGCATGCAGTTTGTCTGGCACTGCTGGCCTACCATAGAGAGGACACACAGCTGAATTTTGACAATTAACGAGAAACTGAAAGTGCCATTTAGATCTCCCAAATATGCAAGCCTGAATATGCAGTGAGCTAGTATCC